TCTCCCAACCTCCCAACCCTGTGCAATAGATAACTGTCTCATTCTCCCCTCAAGAGAAATCAGATGGTTTATCTGCTGAAAAGGTTGAGATCCTGGGCTTTGGAAAACTCAGAACTAAGGGTAGGGAAATAAGTGAGAAGCCACAACAAAAACAGGGGTGGGAGGGTGTTGAGTTAGTGGAAACTGGTATGCTAAACAATGAGACTTCTCCACCGTTCACCCCTACTAGTACCCTCTCAAATCTGACTCCTAGGATGTGGCTTATACTTCTCCCAGGCAAGAACTAAAAGATTATTCTCTAGAAAAGCTAACCTGTCAAAGAGAATATTTCCATAGATAATGACACCCAAGGATCCCCATCCCATCATTCCTGGCTAAATTCTATCAGTTCCCAAACCCCTACTGCCATTCAACCCAATATACAGTTTCCAAATAGGTTTTTAGGGCTGGACACAGTGGCTCAAACCTCTGATCTTAGCATTCTAGGAGGCCACAACAGGTGGACTACTCAAGCTCAGGAGTTTGAGACGAGCTGGAGCAAAAGCAAGACCTTGTCTCTACTGAAAATAGAAAAACGGAGCTGGGCACGGTGGCTCACACCTGTAATCCTACCACTCTGGGGGGCCAAGGCAGTTGGACTGTCTGAGCTCACAGGTTCAAGACCAACCTGAGCCAGAGTGAGACCTCATCTCTAAATATAGCCAGGCGTTGTGGCGGGTGCTTATAGTCCCAGCTACTTGGGAGGCTGAGGCAAGAGAATCACTTGAGCTAAGGAGTTTGATGTTGTTGTGAGCTATGATGCCATGGCACTCTACCAAGGGTGACAAAGTGAGACTCTATTTAAAATAAACACATACATACATAAAAATACAAAAACTGGCCAGACATCATGGCAGGTGCCTGTAGTTCCAGCTACTTGGGAGGCTGAGGCAAGAGGATTGCTTGGCTCGGCGCCTGTGGCTCAAGTGCCTAAGGCGCCAGCCACATACACCTAAGCTGGCGGGTTCGAATCCAGCCTGGGTCCACCAAACAACAATGACGGCTGCAACCAAAAAATAGCTGGGCGGTTGTGGCGGGCG